GCTGCAAAAACTTCGGCCAGCGCCCCGCCCCGATCTGCTGCACACAGGAGTGACCCTGGACAGATATTCGGCGGTGGACAAACCTCCCTTGAGTAGACATCCCCTTAGTGAAAACGGCCTGGGACCGAAACCGACGGACCTGGACCCGCAAAAACGACGGCCGCGACGCCCTCTCGCGAGCCGAGAACGGCCAATTCCTTAATCGACGTGCCAGAGTAGGAGGTCTGTCCACCCCCGAGATGTGGTCGTTAGCGTCGCCGATCGCTGCATATGCGGTGCGACACCTGCCGGTGGCGACCTGCATGCTCGGGCTTCGAAACCCGTGCCCCCCCCCCCGAAGCCAGCGCACCGGAGGCCACTCGGGCGAAGGGTCCATCTCACCGTGACGAACTGCTGCTCAACTCAAGGGGCCCAAGGACACACAAATAAACACACAAAGATAGAAAGATTCCCCATATATTCCTGCATCTTCTGGGTTTTTGTCTTCCCCCCCACTTCCCATATTTTCCCATATTTTCTGGGGAATGGACGATTCATTGTGTCTGTGTGTGTTTTTTCCCCTCCTGATCAACGTCTCACGGCGGCGCCCCTTGCGACACGCTACGCCTTGCAGGGTGTCAGCGTGCCGCTTTGTTTCGTGGGCGGGGGGGGGGGAAAGCTGGGAACGTCGATGCCTCGGGGACTGAGACTCGCTCAGCGCGTCGCGCCGAAGAGTCGTGGGCCAGAACCGGCGGCGCGGCGCGCTGAGCCAACGTTCCTGGCCGTGCGAGTAGCCGCCCCGACCCTGAGACCCGACGTTGCAGAAGCAACCTCGGGAAATATCAAAATCGGAGACCCAGACAAGTTGCATGTTTCGGACCGGATCGATGTGCGATGCACCTGGGGCCAGAAACCACGCGAAAACGCCCACTGCGGAAGAAATGCAACGCCAGGATCTCAAGATGGCTAGAAGCCTCCTGGCATGGGGGCCGAAAAGCTGAGGCCGGAAGATCGCGCCGCACCGCCGATGCAGCTCGCGAGGCGGCACGCTGTAGAGCCCGACGCTCTCTCCCTGCCGACGTCGCCGACGCATCGCAAACGTCGCCAACGCGTCGGCGATGCATCGGTGATGCATCAGCGATGAGAGCACGATGTATCTGCCACGCTCCGACCCCATCTGCTCGGACCCCGTTCGGGAGGGCACCCGCCCCGAGAGAAGGGTGACCGCCGACAGCCCGTGGCCTCGGCGGCGCCCCGGCGCCCCGGCCCCCGTCGCGGCGCGCCGACGCCGCGCGGGAGCGGGGCTTGGGCGCCCCTGGCTGCCGCTTCGGCGAGCCGGGGCTCGGCGCCGAGCGCGCGGGGGCTGCCTCTCGGTCGGGATAGGTTGAAATTGTGCCACGTCCAGAGCTTCTGCCGATGGCTCTCATGTGTACAGAGAAGGTATCGCGCTGAAGCCCTGCGCGAAAGTGCGGGCTTCCAGAGAGGCATCGATGACGCGCGCTCGAAAGTTCTGGTGAACTATACATGTGCATACAATTACGTAGCACCCCGCAGTTGCTGATAAGAGTGAGGCAGCGGCGGGGACGTCTGCAGTCTGCGAGGCTCTGAAGAAGCCCGCCGCAGGCGCAACATTTTCAAGCTATACAACGATCCCGCCACAGGCGCCAATTTGTTGTTAAAACAATGTCGGTGGTGGGCCGCGGGTTGGGTCGCAGGTGGGTCGCGGGTGGATCGCGGGCTCTCAACCTCCACCTGGAGGGGATTCAAAAACAGCTCGCCGCAGGCGCCGAAAATTTTGATTTGCACACTGAACGCGGTTTGGGTAACGGGTGGGTCGCAGGTTCGCCACCTGGAACGAATGCAAAAGAAGCCCGCCGCACGCGCCGAAAATTTTGGGTGGGTCGCGGGGTGGGTCGCGGGTGGGTCGCGGGTGGGTCGCGGTGGGTCGCGGCTGGGTAGCTGGGGGGGGTCGCGGGGTGGGTCGCGGGCGGGTCGCGGGGTGGGTCGCGGGCGGGTCGCGGGTGGGTCGCGGGTGGGTCGCGGGGTGGGTCGCGGGTGGGTCGCGGGGTGGGTCGCGGGTGGGTCGCGGGTGGGTCGCAGGGTCGGTCGCGGGTGGGTCGCGGGGCGCTCCGCGGGTGAGACGACGACAACAACAAACAACAAGCAACAAGCAACAAACAACCAACAACAACCAACCACCGCCACCACCACCACCACCCCCACCACCACCACCACCACCACCACCACCACCACCACCACCACCACCAACAACAACAACAACAACAACAACGAGAATCCGCATCGCGGAATTCCAGGGCCGAGGGATGCCAAGAGCACGGGGCCCGGAGGGTCCAGGGGCCTTCCGACGGGACGGGAGGGAGCGGAGCGCTGGGGCACAGCCGGGGCCAGGGACACCCCCCGCAGCCCCCTGGGCTGGAGCTGGCGGCGCGCAGGGAGAGGGGTCGGCGGCCAGCCCGGGGGGGGGGGGGAAGGCGAGAGGAGGCGGGCTCCCCCGGGAGGCTCGGAGGACCCCCGGGCCTTCCGAGAAGGCACCCCCCTGGGCCTCCCCCCCCGAGGGCGCCGGGGAAGCGCCTCGGGAGGCCGGAAGGTCTCCGAGAAGCCCCCCGCCGCCTCCCGGGAAGGCCCTCCCCCTCCGCCTCTCCCTCCTCCTCCTCTCCTCCTCCTCCTCCTCCTCCTCCTCCTCCTCCTCCTCCTCCTCCTCCTCCGCCTCCTCCGCCTCCTCCTCCACCCCAGCACGCAAAGCCTTTTCGCACACGCACCCACAGAAGGAATCGGTCAGGGCAGGGCTTTTTCGCAAACGCCCAGAGCCGTGTAGCAAACGCCAATCCTCGGGTCCGGGTGGTGTTTCCTCCCCTGGCTCAGATCCTGGCGTCTCTGAAGGGGCCCCAGGACACATAAATAAATACACACAAATAAGAAACATCCATATATTTTTTCATATTTTCTGGGTTTTTGTCTTCCCCCCACTTCCCATATTTTCCCATATTTTCTGGGAGTCGACCATTAATTGTGTCTGTGTGTGTATTTTCTTCCCTCCTGAGTCTCAATAAGTTCTGGCTTCGGGCCCAGGGGCCATCAGAGGTCGATCCGGCTCGAGAGCAAGTGGCGCAAAGAGCTGAGATCCACGGTAGGGGGCCCGACCACAAGAAGCGGTCCCCAAGAAACCCAACCCTGAGACCCCAGGACGTCCATTGATTCTTGGTGTGGGCACGTCACGCTTTCCATGGCAAAACCATCGAAACCCAGGAAACCCAGGGCACCCTGGAGGCAAGCAGGGTGTTTCTTGCCATGCGTTTCCACTGTAGGACTCCGGCCATGATTTTCTGCGATGTCGTATTTTTGGGGCGACGTCGGATCTCGGAGGGGGGAGGAGGGGGGCGAAGGTCCATGCCAAAGGTGGGGTCGAGCGCTCGGGAGCCCTGCCGGATGCTCGAAAAATCAGGACGTGGGAGGTCTGGACGGAAGGGCCTGCACCAGCAGCGCTGCCGGCTCCGCAGCCGTGCGTTCCTTGCGGCTGTTCTGCTGGGCCACGCCGCGCTCCACCAGCTCCCGCAGCTTCACGACGTCGAAGAACGCGTACCTCAGGAAGATCTCGAAGAAGCGGCGGAACTCCCGCTCGTCCAGAACCCCGTCGTTGTTCGCGTCCATGGCGTGGATGAACGCTTGGACACTGCCCAGCGAGGGGGGGTCGAGGCCGAACCCGCGGTACAGGGACGACGTGAGCTCGACGACCTCGCTGAGCTGCAGCACGCCGTCGCCGTTGACGTCAAAGCTGTGGAACTGCTCCTGGCACGCGTGCTTGAAGATGACCGGGTTGCTGAGGAGCGCCTTGACATGCTCGGCGTCGTCCGGGTCGGCATCCTGAGCCACCGGGGAGCACTTCTCGCACCACCCCCGACGCCGACGTTCACACCGAGGCTGCCTCCCCCTCGTGCTCTCGTGCCCCCGCGGCGACCGCGGCGAATCTGTTCTCCAAACCTCCATCTCCCCCCTCGTCCTCATCGTTCACCCCATCCTCCCTCCTCTTCCTCCTCTTGGCGGCGCGCACAAGGGGGTGGGGGGGAAGGGGGTAGGGCTTCCTAGAAGGAGGCTGCTTCTTAGAAGGCGCCGGCCTTACATCTATAGATAAGGCCCGCGCCTTCTAAGAAGCAGGGGTGCTTCTAAGAAGCCCTCCCCCTGCCCCCACCCCCTCTGCGCGTGGCTGATCCTCTTCCGTGTATTCCCCACGAAGACAATCTCGAATAGAAGGACTGATGCTCCTTCTCCGCAGGGCTTGGGAATGGAGAAGGGAAAAGGAGGATCAGATCAGATCAGACTTGTGAAGCTCGAAGCATTGATATGTGACAGCCACGGTGGGAATCAAAACAAAATCGAAGCGGAGGAACGTCGTGGCCGGTTGCTGCCGCCCTCGTCCTTGACGCCGTGACCGATCATGTCGCGCAGCGCCTTGGCGGCGTTGCCGGCGTGGAAGCCATACTCCCGAAGCACGTCCGCCACCTCCGATGCGGTCGGGCGGCCTCCCAACTCCGGTACGAGGGATGAGGACTACTCTGTGTGCCCCCATCCAACGTTAGGTCGGGCATGTCCCCCTACAGGCGGATTTTGGACGAAAAACTAGAAACATAGTCAAAGCATGCCCCAAAATAATCAAAAATGGTGAAGAAATCGTCCCCAGACTATTTTTTGGCTGTTTTTGAATCTTCCTCCTGTGGAGGGACAGGCCCGACTTGAAATCCAGCGACGAGTTCGCTGAGGATGGAAGCGGCCAGCCTCCCCACCGATAGGGAGAGGGGGCACTCCACCGCGCCCGGCCCCAGGCCAAGCAGGAGAGAAGGAGCAGGACACTTTTTGTTGATCTGCGGGGCGAGAGCGAACCTCCTCCTCCGCTGGGAAGCTAAGCGGGCCGCGCACAGCTTGAATTAGCAGAGAAAGGGCGAAGAAAGGCGGGGCCGCAAGGCGGCCGGGAGAGGGCGAAGCCCTGGGATCAGGCGGTGCCGACAGGAGAGAAGGCGCAGGACACGGGGGAGCGAGGCAGGGCGGGAGGGCGCACGAGAGCGAGGCGTGGAGGAAGCGGGAGAGAGAGAGAGAGGGAGCACGAGGGAGGAAGAGGAGGCGAGGAGGCCAGGAGGCGGGGGGAGGAGGGAGGGGAGGCGAGGAGGGCGGCGAGAGGGAGAGAGACGTGGACGAAGCAGGGGAGGGGGGGGGAGGCGAGGGGAGGGAGGGAGACAGGGGGCGACAGAGGGGGGGGGGGGGCGGGGGAGGGCGGGAAGGAGTGGGGGGAAGCCTCGCGCGAAGCAGGCGGGCAGTGCCCCGGGCGCCGCGCACCCGGGGCGTGACAGCGAGGGGGCGGGGCCTTCTGCCGTTCGTCGTCGTCGTCGTCGTCGTCGTCGTCGTCGTCGTCGTCGTCGTCGTCGTCGTCGTCGTCGTCGTCGTCGTCGTCGTCGTCGTCGTCGTCCGTCGTCGTCGTCGTCGTCGTCGTCTCGTCGTCGTCGTCGTCGTCGTCGTCGTCGACGTCGACGTCGACGTCGACGTCGACGTCGTCCTCGTCGTCGTCGTCGTCGTCGTCGTCGTCCGCCGTCGTTCGCCGTCGTTCGGGAGGGGGGAAGGCGGCTTGGGAGAGGCCTTGGCGCTTCCGAGGAGGCTGCACGGGAGGCCTTCGAGCTGTTCTGCGAAGGCCCCTGCCTTCTCTCGGGGGGGGAAGGGGCTCCGAGAATAGGTAACGAAGGACATGAACAGAAAAACTCGGAGGTCCGCGCAGATTTCTCGGATCGGCGCTGGAGCCCCCTGGCGGCGCCTCCGGCGCCGCCCCTAGCGCGCTCGGCGCGCCAGGGAGGGGGGTCCAGCGCCGATCCGAGAAATCCGCGCGGACCTCCGAGTCTTTATGTTTATGTTATTGTTCCTGCCCCTATTCTTAGGCCAGCTCGGAGGCCTCCACGAAGCCTTCTCGGAAGCGCCCGGGCCCCTCCAAGACCCCGCCCCCCTACCGAACGACGGCGAACGACGGCGGACGACGACGAACGACGACGACGCACGACGGACGACGGAGATGACGACGACGACGACGACGACGACGACGACGACGTCGACGACGACGTCGACGAAGACGGCGATGAAGACGAAGACGAAGACGACGACAACGGACGACGCACGACGGACGATGGACGACGACGCCACGAAGCGCCGGTCCCTCCGAGACCTCCCCCCCTCACGCGGCCCCCGTGTGCGCGCCGCGAGAGGCCCCGTCCACGGCGCGCCCGCATGCCACCGCCGGCAGAGGCTGCGCCGCGGCGCGGGCCCGAGGAGCGGCCGGGGAGCCGTCGGGCAGCACGGTGCGCGAGCCCGCGCACAGCAGGGGAGAGGTCAGCTGAGAACTGTCAGGGGAACGGGAAAGGACATCAGCATTAAAAACTCGGAGGTCCGCGCGGAATTCTCGGATCGGCGCTGGAGCCCCAGTCAGGGCACGAGACCCTTCAGACGGCAGCGTGGCCTCCAGCAAGGGCGCCCTCAGTCCGAACTTGTTTCGTCAGCGGCGAGGCGGCGAAGTCCGCTCCAGCGAACAGCTAGGTAGGGGCACGAACTAGCGAATTGGCCAGCGTGCAGGGAGGGAGGGGGGGAGGCCGAGAGGAAGGCAGGGCGCTCAGACGCCGAAGATCTCGACGATGAGCACCCTTAGTCCGAACACGCAGAGGACATGAGAAGGGAATGGACAGGACCTAAGACAACCCTTACCTTTTCCAGGGTCGACCTGCTAATGCGCCCCGACTGTAGGCGAGAATGCCCCGCCGCGAGCGGCTGCCAAACGCCCCCCGCGCGAGCAGCGCCAGGGACTACGTGCTCCCAAGTCTCTCTACGCCGAGTGCCTTTGGACTTGGCGTCCTCCTGCTCTCAAGGTGTCTCCTCCTCCTCCTCCTCCTGCCTCCTCCTCCTCCTCCTCCTCCTCCTCCTCCACCACCTCCCTCCCTCCCTCCCTCCCCTCCCTCCTTCCATCCATCCATCCATCCATCCATCCTCCATCCTCCTCCTCCTCTCTCCTCTTTTCCTCCTTCCTCCGCCTCCTCCTACTCCTCCTCCTCCTCCTCCTCCTCCTCCTCTCCTCCTCCTCTTTTTCCTCCTCCTCGTTTTCCCCTCCTCCTCCTCCTCCTCCTCCTCCTCCTCCTCCTCCATCCTTCCTCCTTCCTCCTCCTTCCTCGTCCTCCTCCTCCTCCTCCTCCTCCTCCTCCTCCTCCTCCCCCTCCCTCCCTCCCTCCCTCCCTACCCTCCCTCCCTCTCCGTCCTCCTCCTCTTTTCCTCGCTCCTCCTCCTCCTCCCTCCTCCTGCCTCCTCCTCCTCCTCCTCCTACTCCTCTTTTCCTCCTCCTCCTCGTCTTTTCCTCCTCGCCTCCTCCTCCTCCTCCTCATCCACCTCCTCCTCCTCCCCTCCTCCTCCTGCTCCTCCTCCTCCTCCACAACAAGGGGCACGCGTGCCAAGGATCATACACTGACGATGTGGGTCCATGGGAGATGGAGAAAACCAGGGATCGCGAGGGAGGCAGTCCTTGGCAGGCGCCGGGAAGCGTGCCGCAATTGCTGCGACACGTTGGCAAGGGACAGATTCGAAGACGGGAAGGGGCGGCTAGAAGCATGTCAGTTTGGGTATGGAGGAAGGTCGCTTGTCCTCTGTCTCGTCCTCCTTCTCCCCATCCTCACCTCCACTTTCTCCTGACCCGCCTCTCTTCCTCCTCCTGGTTCTCGACCTCCTCCTTGTCCTCCCCCTCTCTTCACCTTCTGGGGCGGTGCGGCGCGTGGCGGCGGAGTCGCCCTCGCCGTCGGCATGCGGCCGGGCACGCTGCGTCCTCGTCCTCCTCCTTCTCGTCCTCCTCCTCCCCCTCCACCTCCGCCTCCTCCCCCTCCCCCTCCGCTTCCTCCTCCGCCTCACCGCCCTCGCCTCCGACCCGAGGCTGGCCCAGGCAACTCATCCTCGCCTCGGGCCCGAGGGCGCTTCAGTCGTCGGCACTTCGTGGATGGCGGGCCACAGGCGGAGGCGTGAGAGGGTGGGGCAGCAGGGGTGGCATCCGGTTGCTCTTGGCGTTCGTCGTGGATGTCCTCGGGGTCGGCGCGGCTGGACGCTCGAAGGGTGTCTACGAGACCATCAAAGATACTGCCAGCCACGGCGTCGCTGGATTGTAAGAAGACGCCAACTGGGTCCAAGGACAGCGTGGCCTCTGCGTGAATGTCGCCCTGGGGCTCGGTAGGTTGTCCGAGGACGGTATCCTGTGGATCACGATTCCACTGAATCTGCGCGTGCACGCTTCGGGGCCCATTGTGCAGGGCCAGGGGCAGAAACTGGGCGGAGGTGGCGACGTGGTAAAAGGGAAAGGTTGCGAAGTCGGGGGGAGCTCGAGGAAGCAGGGAGCAGGAGAGTGCAGTATTGTTCGCCGCCCCCAGGGGGGGGGGCTCGGGCGGCCAACGAAGAATGAACGCGCAGGTTCGGTGGAAGAGTGGAGGCGTCCTGGTGGAGGTCGTCCATGGAGACGTCCCTGACGTTGGCGATATCCGATGGCCGGATGGCCTCTTCTACGTCGTCTGTGTCCGCGTGACGGGAGCGAGCTGACAGAGAAGCAGACCAGTCAGCCAGCAAGGCTGCGATGTCCGCAATCGGAGGGGATGCGTCTGTGGAGGCCACGTGTCCGAGGGCGCGGCGTAGCGAGAGGTGGTTGTAGAGTACATGGGGTCGCATCTGCACGCTCTTCATGGAAAGAGCGTGGCGTTCGAGGTTGGTGACTCGGTCGGTGTTGCCGACGTAGACCACCTGGATGTGCTCCAGTACGTTGCGGAGTCGGGCGGCGTTGAACTGGGCTTCGATGGCGGTGGGCCCGTCGTGGACGAATGCGATCATGTGGCCCTTGAGGACAGACCTAGATGCTGCGCTGGAGCGCTGTCCAGGGACATGTATTTTGGCCACGAGGCTGTAGAGGCGCACGTCTGCGAGGGCAAGGGCTTCAGCCTCGGAAGGAGTTTCGAGCCCGATTCGAGAAAGCAGCCCGAAATCCCGTCCCGAAGCCAAGGATCGCGAAGGCGGAGCGGCCGCCGGATCCGACAGCGGCCGCGCGCAACTCTCGCATAGAAACGTTTCGTGGCCACCGTCCGGCATGGTGCGCGTGAGCTCCGGGTGCAGGTGCAGCCTCGCGGAGGCGCCGATGGAGACATAGCTGCGGATGCTTTTGGTTTCGACGGTGCGCGTGGAGCCGTCAGCCTCGCAGAAAGTCACCGCAGGCATGGCGTCCAGGTCTCTGCATTCGTCAGGCGTGAGGAAGAGCCAATGGTCGGGAGGCAAGTTTTCGAGCCGAACGCGCTCCGTGGCAGGGAACGCAGGGTCGCGGCGACCGCAGGAACCGCATCCAGGGAGAGGAGCGGCATGATCCATCTTCGCGGAGTAAGCTCGGACCATTCTGCGTTGGTCATCGGCCGTAACGGTACAGAAAGTGCGAACGTCGTTGGCTATCTGGTCGAAGAGGGCGTCGTCAGAAGGTGGCGCCGTCGCGGCGTCCCGATGGCGGAGCTGTCTGGAATGTCGTGACACCTGGTATCCAGATTCAGAATGTAGTCGTTCAATGAAGTCCAGCGGCGTGGCGTCGCCGGCAGTGGTCGCTGCAGGAGCAGCTGCTCGCCTCGTGGCGCTTCGGACAGCCTCCGGGTGGGATGCAGGGGCGCCTGCAGTAGCTGCCGCGGCTTGCGCGGCGGTGATAGCAGCTCGCCTCTTGGCGCTTCGGGCAGCCTCCGGGTGGGGGGCGGGGGCGCCTGCAGTGGCTGCCGCGGCTTGCGCGGCGGTGGCAGCAGCGCGGCGCGCCTTCTCTCGGGCTGCTTCTTTGGCGGCGTACGCAGCGTTGCGGCGCCGCATGCGTGGGGCAACGTCTGGCTTGGATAAGAGGGCTGCAGTGGGGGCGGCAGCAGGACGACGTCGCGCCACACTGCGGGCAGGCCGCGGAGGGAGCGCGGAGCCCGCGGCCGGCCGCTTCCTCACGACGGAAGGCGGCATGGTGGAGCCAAAACGGCTACAGAAAGAATCGCCACGGTTATGGAACCCCCCACGGCGCTTGCAGAGGTAAGGGTGCGTTGGGCCCTGTCGCATCCTGCGAAGAAAGTCGCCGGCCCCATGGGCCACGGGCGTGCTAAGATCTCCGGGAACTGCTTCCGAATATTTCTAGTTCGCGCGCGCGCGGGGGGGTCCCTGGGGGTCCCCAGACGAAAAGTACTCCGAGCCAGCCCTGGGCGAATCGGGTCAGAGATGGTGTTCCTCCTGGGCGCCGCCCTCAGGGCCACCTAAGAGCACGGTCGGTCGGAATAAGGGGACGAGGGGCGCAGAAGAGGAGCGGGGGGAGTGGCCCACGGTCGGGCGGAAGAAGGGGACGGGGGCGCAAGGGGGGAGCGGGGGGGGGGCCCACGGTCGGTCGGAATAAGCGGAGGGGGGCGCAAGGGGGGAGCGGAGGGGGTGGCCCACGGTCGGTCGGAATAAGGGGAGGGGGGCGCAGGGAGGGAGCGGGGGGGGTGGCCCACGGTCGGTCGGAATAATGGGAAGGGGGCGCAGGGGAGAAGCGGGGGGGGGTGGCCCACGGTCGGTCGGAATAAGGGGAGGGGGGCGCAGGGGGGGAGGGGGAGGGGCCAGCACGACCACCAGCACGACCACCAGCACCTCCACCAGAACGGCCAGCAACACGACCGCGAGCACGACCACCAGCACGACCACCAACACGACCACCAGCACCTCCAGCACGGCCAGCCACCAGCACGACCACCAGCAGAACCACCAGCACGACCACCAGCACGACCACCAGCACCTCCACCAGAACGGCCACCAACACGACCGCCAGCACGACCACCAGCACAAGCACCGGCACGCCCAGCCACAAGCACGACCACCAGCACAAGCACCAGCACGACCACCAGCACGATCACCAGCACGACCACCAGCACCTCCACCAGAACGGCCACCAACACGACCGCCGGCACGACCACCAGCACAAGCACCAGCACGACCACCAGCACGACCACCAGCACGACCACCAGCACGGCCAGCCACCAGCACCTCCAGCACGGCCAGCCACCAGCACGACCAAGCACGACCACCAACACGACCACCAGCACCTCCAGCACGGCCAGCCACCAGCACGACCACCAGCACAACCACCAGCACGACCACCAGCACGACCACCAGCACGATCACCAGCACCTCCACCAGAACGGCCACCAACACGACCGCCAGCACGATCACCAGCACAACCACCAACGCGACCAGCCACCAGCACGACCACCAGCACAACCGCCAGCACGACCACCAGCACGACCACCAGCCCAGCACGACCACCAGCACGACCACCAGCACGACCAGCCAGCAGCACGACCACCAGCTCGACCACCAGCACTTCCCAGCACGACCACCAGCACAAGTACCAGCACGACCACCAGCACGACTGCCAGCACCTCCACCAGAACGGCCAGCAGCACGACCACCAGCACGACCACCAGCACGTCCACCAACCACGACCACCAGCACGGCCGCCAGCACAACCACCAGCGCGACCGCATTATGGGCACACGGTCGGTCGAAATAAAGCAGTGCGAGATCACACCGGTAGGTATGATGATTACACAATATGAATACTACTCTCCTCTCTCCGCTGGTGAGGTCTGGGAAATGGTCGCCCCCCCTCCGCGTACTGCTTACACACAAGATTTCTGGGAAACGGGTTTTCGCTTGGATTGTTTTCAAAATGCTGCTCTCGCTGAAGAGCTGGCCTCATGTTCGGTCTGCCGCTCGTTCCGACTCGTGCTCCCGCTGCAGCGCTGGCCTCATTTCCGCGCTTCCGCTCGTTCCGACTCGTGCTCCCGCTGCAGCGCTGACGTCAATATTTCCAGCGCCATGACACGGCATAGTTCTTGTCCCTTCCAAAAGATAGGCTTCAAATTCAAAAAAAAACACCTTCGGTGTCGATGTGTTGATTTGTTGGGCCGCAGAAGCTCACCCCACTTTGAGGCGTCACCACGCCATGCTATGTCAGGCTACGCGATGATCTTCGACATCATGCTCTGCCATGTAAGGCTATGCTCTGCTACGACATCCGACTGTGCGAATAAAGAAGAGATGTACGCCATTGTAAGGGATGGGAGGGAGGGGTAGGACAACAGATATGACGAGAGCGCACCTAGCTTGTCCTCCTCCTCCACCTCCTTCTCCTCCTCCGCCTTTCTCCTCCTCCTGCTCCTCCTCCTACTCCTGCTCCTCCTCCCTCCTCCTCCTCCTCCTCCTCCACCTCTTCCTCCTCCACCTCCTCCTCCTCCTCCTCATCCTCCTCCTCCTTCTCCTCCTGCTCATCATCATCATCATCATCATCATCATCATCATCATCATCATCATCATCATCATCATCATCATCATCATCATCATCATCATCATCATCATCATCATCATCATCATCATCATCCTCATCCTCGTCCTCGTCCTCCTCCTCCCTCCTCCTCCTCCTCCTCCTCCTCCTCCTCCTCCTCCTCCTCCTCCTCCTCCTCCTCCTCCTCCTCCTCCTCCTCCCCCTCCCTCGACAGGGCATCCACGTCCAACACTCCGCGAGATCTTCGGGGTACGTCCCAAAGGCGGTGGTTGGGAATGTGAACTCCCAGCGTTTGCCCTGCGAGCACACCGGCGGGGGCCACCTTCCGAGCGTCGACCGCGGGGAAGCGCTCGCAGAGGCGGCCGAAGACTTCGCGAAACTGCTCCTCCTCGGGCCTGAGGTCGCCGTCCAGGGAAACGCCGGGCGGCCCCCTGCTGCACGGCCGTCACTCTCCCATGTGTCCTCGCCCCTCCTTAAGCTACTCCTGATCCTGCTCCTCCTTCCTCCTCCTCCTCATCCTCCTCCTCCTCCTCCTCATCATCATCATCATCATCAGCATCATCAGCAGCAGCAGCCTCATCATCACCATCATCATCATCATCATCATCATCATCATCAACGTCATCATCATCAGCAGCATCATCAGCATCATCATCGTCAGCAGCATCATCATCATCAGCATCATCATCAGTATCATCAGCATCACCATCATCATCATCATCATCATCATCATCATCACCATCACCATCGGCATCATCATCATCGTCGTCATCATCCGTATCATCATCAGCGTCATCATCATCATCATCATCATCATCATCATCATCAGCAGCAGCAGCATCATCATCATCATCGTCATACTCATCCTCATCCTCATCCTCATCCTCATGCTCATCCTCATCCTCATCCGTTTCGTCCTCATCCTCTTCGTCCTACTTATCCTCCTCGTCCTACACCCCTCTTCCTTATGAAGAAATCCCCATGCTCGCACCCCCAGACGTGTCCATAGGGCGTTCCGCATGTTTCGTTTGAGACATCCCCACAGTATACTCGTCCTGAAGGTTAAGTTTCGCAACACCTTCAAGGATGGCGGGCGAGCCCTTCTTGGCTCTCGCCTTAGCACAGCGCAAACTCGTCTTAAAAAATCGCACCCGCTTCGAGAATGGAGGGCTGGTCTTTCTGAAAATTAGGCTCTCGCCTCAACGCCGCGCAGATTCGTCATAAACGTTTGCAGCGGCGTCAAGGATTGAGGCTGGCTTCTTTTCAAAAGGTTGCTCTCGCTTGAGCGCCGCGCACAGCCGTCTGAACACATTGCAACAGTCAAGGATCTGCAGGGCTGAAGTTCCAGGAATCGCGTTCTGACAAGACTTAGGATTGTCAAGACGCAGCAGTCAAGCGGCGGATTCGCGGTGTTGATGCGTCAGGAGCTGCGCTTTGACACGATTCAGGATGGCCAGAACGCAACAGTCACGTTGATTCGCGGCGCTGACCTCCCAGGAATTGCGTGTTAGCACAATCTAGAATTCTCAAACGAATTTGGAAATTCAGGGGCGCCCGAACCCTAGCAAACTTATCCGCCACCATGCCTCCAGGCACAGAGTAGGCGTGTCCTCAAGTCCGTTGCCCTATCCCCGGAGCATCTGTCGGTCCTGAGGAGTATGTAAGGGTCTGGACCCGAAATTCTCAAATCTACCGCGGCTTCCCGCGTGTTTTCGCAGGACCTTTCCAGGGCCGAGAGGGCCCCAAGACGGGCCAAGAGGGCCCAACGAGGCCGCCAAGACGACCCAAGAGGGCCCCGAGTCGCCGAAAAATCGCTCAAGACGCCCAAGATGGCCTCGCAACAACCGAAGAGACCTCCAAGACGCCCCAACAGGCCTCTAAGAGGCCTCCCGAGAAGGCCGTGCTTGAAGAGTGTTGGTGTTCTCGCCTTTTTGGCTTTTCGGCGCTTCGAGACGGCCCAAGGGGCTCCCAAGACCACCCCAAAACGTGATCACATGCGTCCGCGCGACCCAGTACAGTGTTTCGTGGCTGCGTAGGGAGCTCCACAGAATGCCCCAGCGGCTGTGATCACATGCGCCCGCGCCACCCAGTACAGCGATGCGTGGCCACATGGGGAGCTCACCGAAGGCCCCAATGGCTGTGATCACATGCGTCCACGCCACCCAGTGCAGCGCCTCGTGGCCGCAAGGGGAGCTTCACCGAAGGCCCCAGGGGCTGTGATCACATGCGTCCACGCCACAAAATAAAGCGCTCTCCACTCAGGGCCCCAGTGGCTGTGAGCCCATGCGTCCGCGCCACCCAGGATCGCTCTAAGAAAATGTATTTTGCAACACCGTTGAAGCGTCTTGGGCTCACACTGGTCCTCATCCTTCTCCTCCTCTCCTACTCCTCGGCTACCCCCCTAGTCATCAGCACACTTCTCCTCCTCCTCCTCCTTCTCTTCCTCCTCCTCCTCCTCTTTTTCTTCCTCCCCCTCGCTCGCTACCTACGGGCTAGAGCTCGACACCGAAATACT